CTGAACTCATCATCTTTAACCTGAGTACTCTGAACAATTTATAGCCTTCGTTTTGCAAGTAAAGGGCATCTTTATAATCAGGTAAAACTCCACAGAGTTTACTTATTTTAATAAACCCTTTGCCATGTATTTTGCTTCAACAGCAATATAAATGTCAGCCACTGGACAAAAGAAATCCTATTTAAAAAATTAAAACATTTGTTTTCATTAAATTTCATTTCTATTTTTATTTTCAGAAAGCTCTTGCTCTTTGATTAAAAATCTCTTTAATCCTGAGATCAAAACTACTATCATATCAAACTCTCTACAGCTGACTGTCATATAAAAAGCTTTTGAAATCTGGTATTTTTTCTTCTAGTTATTAACAACTTCATTCTTGCCAAAAAGTTGCCAAATAAGATCTTTTTACTAGGTACTCAAAGATCTTAACAACTTCTTAAGTATTATCCATGAGTGGGATTGAAGACTCCTTTATTCTACAAAGCAGTAATTCTCCATACATAATTCACAAATTCTCCGAAATTAATCTGTAAAACCCCTGCAAAAAAGTATTTGAATACAAGTCTCACTTTGTCATGCACGTAAGCAAACAAGAGAAGGAGAAGGTGGCAGTTATTGAATTCTCAACGTTAGGTTCATTTTGTTGGCACTGTAAATGAAGACAACTGTGACAAAATTGTACAAGACGATCCACTTATTTCTCCTCCCCAAAAAACAGATGACAAGTTCCTTTATTAAATATTGAGAATAACTCTTACAGTGGTTCTTCGAATTGTTGACATAAGCTACACCAGACTACACCAAGATCTGAGCTTTAGCAGCTCTGGCCTTTTCAGACTACAATTCTGAAACCAGAACCACCATCTAGAAAATGTAAGGCACTTGTTTTCTCTTTCAAGAAATTTAAATAAGTTTCTTAGGGTATATCTTAAGCAATTAAAAGTTTCATAGTAAAATTTCTATCCATTTACCCATATAAAAACTGGATTGTAATATCAGAACTGAATTTCTTTTCCTTGAAGACCATCCTCTTTCAAACAGGTAGAGCATGAAGTTTGATTTCCATCTTGTTTTACTGCGCAATAAGGCACGAGAACATTGTAACTTCTAGCAGAGAATGAGGAGAATAGTTCATCCTAATTTCCTTTTTAAAGCCTCTCACAAATAGAACCTTGAGAAAAGGAATACCGCTTTTAGAATGGCCTTACTTTTTAGTGGCCCCTACATAGCACCATAGAGTTTAGACTTATTTCAGATATACACAGAACTCCTTAGTAATATTCAAATGTTTTATACATGATAGTGCAAGGAAGGATTAGTTTTGCTTAAATTTCCATGAGATTTGGAAGTGGGGGGTGGGGGACGTAGAAGCTGGGAAGTAGATTTCCAATGCCATGCTGCTTTATTGCCTCAACAGGAGTAAGAAAGTAATGCCTTCTTAATCATTTTGACATATTGAAGGCACATTCAGTAGCACAGAACCAAGCCATACTCCTAGCTATTTCCAGCAACCCGCAAACATTAATTTATTCTCACAAGCCTGAATACTGAATCTGTGACAGGAGAATATGAGGCTGGGGAATAAGCAACGGAAAAAGAGCTCCACAAACACACCGTTCACTGAAAGGTCTGTTGAACCAGAGAATGGCATTTCTAATAGTCTCTCCAAGACCCAGGAAAGCCCATCTGTTATTCTCAATGCTGAAAAAACCCTATTTCATCCTCAACATACACTGATGCCAGCTATTTCAGTCTAGCAATATACAATGTACATCAGCTACCTACCTTAGAATATTTTTCTTCTAATTAAGCAGTATTTTAAGAGAAAAGTTTTTCAGTAGAGTGATGACTGTACATTAATTTTTATTAACTTAAGTTTACTCAGAGCTGCAGGCAAAGCTGGAGCTTCCTAACAGAACAGTTCATAGCTGCATTGCAAAATATTGTTAAAATCATTAATACAGAAACTGGAA